TGAGGTGACCCGGGTATATTGACATTTAGACATAGCAATGCTAAAGTCTAAAACCCCCTATTTTCGACTCTGAGAACGCAGCCGTTGAAGCTATGCAGCTACGTATGTAGGGGTGTTCATCCGACATGCTCCCGAGCTAAAATGCAGGACGTAATTGCCATATCAGACGGAGGGAGACCCGCTCAACCAAACATCTCCAACTTTTTTTTTCTCGTACCTTTGCATCAATTACCCACGCCAAAACCCACCAGACTTAATCCAGCATCCGGCTTCCATGAGAGCCTTTTATACCATCACCAAGAAGTTCCAAGAGAGTAAAAGGGGGCGTGTGTATGAGGGCATAGAAGAAGGGCTCTGGGGGAAGAGGGAGCTTCGAAATGTCCGTCTTTGATAACCCCGCCCTCATCAAAGAGTGCAGCGGTGCAGTGGCTTCAATCTACGCGGACGTCGTCGGCCACCTCACCGCCGATTTACCCCGGCTTCCGCGACCGTTTGAGAGCATTACCGAAGGACACAGTCTGGAACCCGTTGGTCCGGAGATTTTGAGGATTGTAGAGGGGTTGGCTTTTGAGGTTCTGGGGCTGTGCGCGGCAGCGGGCTATAGTGTGGATTTGAGCGACTATACAGCAGCAGCAGCAGCACCACCGCCGCCGTCACCATTGTTAGGAGGATCGGAGTCGGTGATTGAGCGTCTCGACGGAGAGATTGAGCGGACCTACCGCCGGTTTTACGACTATGTCTACGCGGACCTGCCGTTTTGTTGGAGGTTGTTGTATACGGAGCTCAGTCTGCTCAAGTTTTCGGCGGTGGCGTTTTTGTATGTTGCCAAGAGGGCGTCGCGGGGCGGGAAGACGGAGAAGAAAGATGAAGAGGAAGAGAGTGAGGAAGAGGGAGACGATGAAGGAGAAGTGCTGGATGATCTCGTCGCCGTGCTAGACAAGGCGCTCATCCTCGCCGGCGGGGCGGGCTTGAAGCGCGGGAGGAGGACGATTTCGAGATTACTCGGGTACCTCGACGACGCGGCGCCATCGTCTTCACCGCGTTCGCCTCTCCCGGCGAGGTTTCCTTCTTCGCGGACGTTTACGCCGCCTGTGACCCGGCCTATTCGTGCCGTGGATCACTTGTCGATGTCGGCGTTTCAAGCGTACCTGGACGGTCGGTCTCGTCTAGACAAGGAGGCAGGTGTGGGCGAAGACGTAGACATGGGGCCGGAGCCGCTGGTTCTGACGTCGCTGATGACGGAGTGGCCTGCGCTCTCTACGAGACCGTGGTCGTCGCCTGGGTACTTGATGTCGAGGACGCATGGCGGGCGGAGGCTTGTGCCGGTGGAGGTCGGGCGGAGTTATGTCGATGAGGGGTGGACGCAGGAGTTGATTACGTTCCGGGAGCTGTTGGCGCGCGTGGTTGCGTCTGGGTCTCCGTCGACTGCAGCATCGACAGCGACACCAATTACGACGAGGACAACAACAGCAACAACGGGGTCAGAGAAGGGAACAGAAAAGGGCACGACGTACCTCGCCCAACACGAACTCTTCGCGCAGCTCCCGCACCTGCTCAACGACATCCTCACGCCGGACCACTGCTTCACCTCGCCGCCGGCGCACCCGCTCAACAAGGCCGCCGACAAGCCGGAGCTCGACGTGCCGTTGGTGAATGCGTGGTTTGGCCCCGCGGGGACGATTACCCCGTTGCATACGGACGGGTATCATAACCTGCTGTGCCAGGTTGTCGGGGAGAAGTACGTGCGGTTATACGCGCCGCGGGATTCGGAGGCGTTGTGTCCGAGGGGGTTTGATGGTGATGACGATTTCGACGCCGACGATGGAAACGAAGGAGAAGAAGGGGGTGAAGATGGAGATGGAAAGAGAGGTCAGGGGGTGAAAAAGGTGGACATGAGCAACACTAGCGCCTTTGACGTCGGCGCCGTGGAGGGCTGGGACCCGGACACGGAGGGCCGGGATCCGATGGAGCTCGAGGAGTTTCGGGGGCTGCGGTACTGGGACTGTGTGCTCGGCCCGGGAGAAGTGTTGTATATTCCCATCGGGTGGTGGCATTACGTCCGCAGTCTGAGTGTGAGTTTCAGCGTGAGCTTTTGGTGGAACGGGGATCATTATGTTGGGCCGCAGGGGAGGGGAGACGAGTGATTTCATAACTTTGAGCCTCTCGAATAAGAGGTATATGTATAACAAGCCTCGGTCATGTTTTCATTCCATCATGTCATCTACGTTAAATAGTATTCATCAACTACGGCATCAGCTCGCAGCAGCAGCAGCCTCATCCGCCTCGGCACTCTCCCCCGCGCCCCCCTGCGCCTGACGCCTCGCCTTGGCCCCAGCTTTCAACTTCTCCCACTTTTCGCGATACTTTTCCAGCGTCCGCGCCATGGTGCGATTCTCCTTCTCCAGCGCCTCCATGCGCTGCATCGCCATGGCCATCTGCTCCTCGAGCTCCTTGTTCCGCGCCTTTAACACGGCGTCGGTGCTCGACATGCCACCACCACCACCACCACCACCGGTAGTAAAAGGAGACGCCCCGACCGTCGCAGGCGACCCGGGCCGTCTTAGACGAATACTCTCCGCCAGCGCCAGGCTCGAATTCTGCGCCGTGGCCTCAAACGCGTGAAGCCGTTTGCTCAGCTTGTCGAGCATGTCCTTGAGCCCCCTGTTTTCGAGGTAGAGCTCCTCGACGGTGTTTTTGAGGTTCTGCTCTGTTTTGGGCTTGCTGGCGGCTCCCCGACGTCGGGATACGCCGGGGGAGGTTGGTGCCGCCATCATCAAGGACGGAGACTCGCGGGCGTCGACGAAGTCGTCCTCGTCGTCCTCGATGAGGCTGTCACCTGCGCCCCCTCCGCCACCGCTGACGCCGCTGTGGAGCGAGGCCTCGAGGCGGCGCTTCTCCTTGTCTGCAAAATTGAGGATGTTGGCGTAGGACATTGTGTGTCCGCTCGTTGGGACGACGTAGAAGGAGTCGTTGGGGTTGTTCGCCGAGATTGCGCGGAGGGTGGCGCGGGAGTAGATCTTGGAGAGGTCCGGTTCGGCGGGGGCCGCTGGGGAGGGTTTGAGTCTGTTGCTGCGCTTTGCCGAGGCAGGTTCGGGAGGTGTCTCGGCGTGGGGTTCGGGGACGGATGACGACGAGGTGATTGACGAGGATTCCTCGGTGATGAGGGGTAGGCCTGCGAAGGCCAGGGGCGCGGAGAGGCGGTTGATGATGTTGCCAAAGGTGCTGTAGAAGCGGGAGTATCCGTCGTCGCTGGCGGGCGAGGCGACTTCTTCCGTCTTTTTGGGCTCTGTCTCCCTTCGCGGGGAGTCGGCCGTTGGCGGGATCCATCCCGGTTTGCCGGACTGATCGAGGACGTTTTGCATCTTTGTCCTCGAGCCGTCCCGCCGGGCTTGGACTTCCATGTTGCCCGGCGCCTGGTCGTTTGTGACGCTCGGCGGGATGGGCTGGCTGCGGTTCCTGCTCCCACGGATGCCTCGCGCCGAGGCGAGGTTGCTCGCGATGGAGGAGGTCATCTCGCGGCTCGGGTACCGGCGCTGCTGCGCCAGAGACGGAACACCCTTCACCGTGGCGACGGGGCTTCCGCCAGCGGACTGCTGCTGTTGACCTGATCTGGACTTGGTACGGCCATCATCGGGTGAGGAGACATCGCTCGTGGCATCGGAGGCTTGCGATTCCTGCTTCTCGTCGATGGTCTCGGAGGAGGGGTTCTGGCTGGCGGCGGCGCGACGGTCAAAGGGTATCTTGAGGAGTTCGGCGAGGCGCTGGTGGTGCTCTTCGAGGAGCTTTAGGGTGCGGAGGGCCTCGATGCTGGAGGTGGAGCGGGCAGCGTTGGCGAACTCGCCGGCGGCGAGGGCGTGCTCGTTGATTGCTACCGTCGTCTCGGATTGATGCTGGGCGTTGGAGGCTGCTTTGGCATGGTCATGCGCCTGGGTGATTTGCTGTTAGACCAGTGGTTGCTAGAGACATTGTTTCACAGGTGCCTTTTAGGGCTGAGGTTACCTTGACAAGCGAAGACTCGTCCATCGCGTAGAAAAAGAACTGTAGGGCTGCCTAGGTGGGCTGCCGGTGATGTGTCAAGGGACGGGGTGCTGGTGCCAGTTCGGTTTCGGAGGTCGGTTGGGGGTTGGTTCCTGCTCCAAGTCGGCTGTCCGCACGTTTGCTCTTGGATCACGCGACCGCCTCAGACCGATACAGACGGTGGTAGTGGAGGGGAGGTGGAGGGATGTACGGATATGCGCCGATGGAGGTACGGAGGAGGTCCAACGAACCGGCCTTTGATGTTCGGTGACCGGTGGTTGGGTCGGGGTGTTGCGGTCGCGGAGGTTTCCCCAGAGTCGCTAGAAGATGGCCCCCGCTTGTTCTCTTCTCCGGTTGCAGTCAGGTGGTGGGCAGTGGACAATAGGCGCAGGAGCACGCGGGACGACGCTTGGTTCGCTTCCAGTTAGAAGGGGGCTAAAGGGGCCCAGATTGGGCGGTTGGAGTACGTAAGCTTTCCGTTCGTCAAAGCGTCGTCTTCCCGCTGGCGGCCACCCACGCACCTTGCCAAAATCGTCAAGGTCCAAAGGAAGCGAAGAGACCGATCCCACGTCACCAAGTGCTAGTAATTGCCTCAAGCGACTTGTTGGAAGCTAGCTTTACTTACTCCGACTAATGACATCTCGATGATGTTGCTAGAAAATTCAAAAGAGACTTCGGACGGCTTTTGTGAAGGGAAGTTGGTGCCGCTGTACCACTGCAGGGCACGCTATACAAAGCACCGAGACAGTCGAGCAGATCATGATACTGTATCTATAGTAAACGTTAGATTATCAAAGTATTCAAGCCACCAGTCGTCACTTGCATTGCCAAATTTGACATGTTGATGAAAAGTCAAGTAACAGCGGTGCAAGGTCTGGAAGGTAAGTCGGTAGGAAGTGACTCGTCAATCCAGACGGTGACGATGACAGTAAGTGCCGGAACTGAGACAGGCCAACACTTTGAGAGATTCTGAATGACGCAAAATGCATGTCAAAGGAACCCAGAAACTTGGGCATCGTGTCTGCGAGTGTTGGAACTTGGCTGCGCTGTGGCTGCCACCTGTTCCCCGCCCTGACAATCGCGAGAGGGGACGGCATTTGTCCAATATCCAGTTGCGCGGTGTCTCGTCGCTCCAGAGACGAGCCTATCACGACGAAGGAAAAAGAAGGGCGAAGCACCAATGCAAGCCGCAGACCGTAACCCGCGAGACACGATTCGCACTTGTGGAGGCCCCTGACGTAGCTATGGTTCCCCCCCGGAGCCAGCACCTGATCCAAAAGGGCAACCCAACGGCCACAACCGTCCCGAATCGGGTCAGTCATCGAAACCTTGCTGGGAAAACCATCTGCAAATCTGCCAGACGTGCATGCATCGCCAGGAGGAGGAGTGCGGACTGGCGGACTGATTCGGGCTAGGTAGGTGAGAAAGGTGGGATGAAAGGCTCCGGGCCAGCCGTTGATACGCTGGTTGGGATCTGCTGGTCTCTCTGGTTCGACCTACCTAAGGTACGCCAGAGACCATGTGGTGCTGATGCATCCGGCTAGAGTGGAATGGAGCTCTTCGGCCGGTGGTGAGATGTGATCTGAGCAGTGAGCCGAGACGGGAAGTCGGGAACTCAGGAGATGCTACTTGGTTCTGTTAAGGGGGCACGCCTCACACTCAGCCACATAACTACTCCGTGCATACTCTTCAGTTTGCCGGGGCCTTGGAGAGATTGACTTTGGGTGCATCTGGCGGAATCATCCCGATGCAGGTCCCAGATCCCAGGTGCAATTCGCAGGTGGAAATTTATGGCATGTTTGGCTGGCTGGCTGGCTGACGTGGAGATGGAATGGAGATTTGCATATTGGGATTGCGCAGTCGCCAATAGATCCACCAAAAAAGAGATGCCACTGCCCACTTCACTGAACCAAAATAGCAGCGCAGTGTCTTTCCCGGATCACGGGTGGCGGGTGTCAATCATATAATGCAGCAGTAACATGGTTTATGGGTGGCTCAGGTCTACTGTGTATGGAGGCTGGCCAGATCGACGGCCCCAGATTCCCGATTCTGAGGGATTCCAGGCCGCTCGTAATAATGGAGAGCTGTCGGCAAGCGGGCAGAAAGAAGCAATCGGCTGTTATGCCCGTGTGAGTTTGCATTTGGTTATTTTGAGGGTTATGAGGAGAGGAGAGGAGACGGGGGAGAACAGGAGGAGGTGAGAAAGATGAGCTTATGTAATGGGGTTGCACTAACAAATCAAGGTACCCCATCCGTTTCAAGCCAAGGAGGAAGGAGGAAGGAGGAACCCGCCTGGCCCAGGAACTTGCCTCGCCTCCAGTGACGATGACGCTCTTCGTGGAAAGAGAGCTCCGGCTTGGTGGTTCTTGCCTTGGCCAGAGTTGAAACTGACGACCTGGGTTTGAGGAGTGCGACGGGAACCTCTTACCTTTGGTGCGAATAGAAATCAAGGTGGCAACCAGAACCTGGACCTCCTTCCTTGCCGGGTTTTTTATCTTCATCTTCCTTTTGGGTCCTTCGGCTCCGGCACCGTCTCCAGAGAAATTGCAAACTTACCCATTTTCCGTGAAGTGCGAACTGCGAACTGCGAACCCATCTTTGCTCTCACCCATGGCCTGACCCATTCATTCTTTCATTCACTCACCTTTTCATGCTTGCGCTTGCACTTTGCACCACCTCACAGACTCACAAACAAGAAACAACATTAAACGGGGCCCCGTCTGTATCGCATAAACTCGGAAAACGACACAACACCCGCGGCTTCGTTTCCAAATAATTCACCGTCATACACAAACAATACACAAGGTCTACAGCTACAGATACCGTCTACACCCCTACCTCGCATCGCACCTCCCTACGGGTCCTCTCCAGGCTTGTCTTGCCTTCTCGACCTTAATTTCCATACTGCCAATTCCCTGCACCCGCGGACCATGATCATCGTGCCCACTATTCGCAACCAATGCGCGTATAGCCTTTGACAGCAACAACCCGCCAGACTGCAGACACACATTGCTCGGAAAAGAGTACGAAAATTGCGAGCTTCACGATCCTAGGAAATCACCAGAACCCTGGCCCGAGAAACCATGGACACCGCCAATGAAAGCGGAGGAGCTCTGAGCAAGCTGCTACCAAAGTCAATCGCTGCCAAGCGCCGCCGCAGAAAACAAGAAGCCCAAGAAGATGAAGCCGCTGCCGCCACGGCCGCTTTGTTGATAGGGGTCAAGGGGGAAGAAGTTACCGCTCCAGCTGTTACGCCTCCAGCACTCAGAGACGACGATGCCAGCCATCTATCTAACAGACGCGACAGCGGCTCTTACGTTCATGACACGGACAGCTTTGGATTGGAAAAAGACGGCTCGACAGGGTTTCCCGACTACGACTACGGCCACTACCCCGAGCACGGCCACGCCGCCCACGACGCGGACGATGCCAGCACCGAGGAAGCCACGAGCATGCTGTCGCTGGACGAACCTGATATTGACGATCTTCAGTGAGTAGTGTTGCTTTCCCGCATGTTTTGTCTCTCTTCATCTCTACTGGTTATGTTCACCTTTTCCTGCTTATCCCTAACCCCGTCTTACCTATCCACCCACCATCTTACCTTACCTATCTTACCTTACACTACCTATGCACACGGTTGGGGCTGGCTTCTCTGCACCCTCATCCTTCAAATCTTCCCACCACCTTACATATGTATGCATCCGAGCGCACTTGTTCCGTGCTCTTCACCACCACCTCACAAGGCCACGTCTTTTCGCGTGGCGCATTCCCCCCCATCGTTCAAAATCGTCACTGGCGTCTCCATCGAATGACAAGGCGAGCTACGAATAGTACCTAGCTGCTATTACTGCGGGTGCTACGCAACTCGGCCCCAGTCTGCTGGCACAACCCGCAACGGCGCCGTCTCTCTTTTGTGCATATCAAGTGGAGAGACAGAGAAAGGACAGCGGGCTTAGCGTCCGTAGTAGGCTGCTCTGGCCATCCTTGGTCTGACAGTTCTCACTGGTCCGGGGGGTTCTGGGACTGGGAGACTAGCAGAGTCGGAGAGGAGGGGGGGCTGATGCGCTCTCCTCTCCTCTCTCTCTGCTCCGTGGTCCATGGGTCTCAGCTCCCCCTCATCCACTCTCTGCGGCAATCGCCGTATGACAGCTGCCTGGGGGTCCCTTCAGCACATTTAACTCGTGTCCCTGACGAATGTTCCATTTCAAGCGAGTGCGAACAAACGGGGTCAGGGTCGTCCATGTCTCCCCCGACCACCTCCTACTGTTTCGTCTCTCCATGTAACCATCCATACAATACCAACTATCTAACCACGACGATTTCCGCCCCCTCTCATTAGATCTCTTTCTCAGCACTCTCGACCAAGTGCCATATCGACACATCCTTCGCAAATAGGTTACTTGACTACTTCTTCCCCTATCGTTCAGGCAACTCATTTGCCTGAACCCCAACCACAGATACTGGACGACCAACTCTCCCAGATCGCCTCGGCGCGATCCACTCTCTCCTCTGCCAAGCGGACGCAATCCGTCGAGTCGTCGACAGATTCTTCTTTGCGCTCCAAACGCAGTTTCACAAGTCTTGTGCCACCAAAGAAAAACACCACGAGATCGCCATCCCCCGTTGGCCGTCTCAAAGGTGTTTTTACAAAGTCAAAAAAGACTCCCAGTGCCGCCACAAGCCCCGACCGGTCCCTGGGCGGTGACGAAACCCCCGACCACGACCGAGACACGCGGAGAACAAGAGACCGAGGCAGAGCCACTGCTTCCACCTCTGACCTCACCACAACCACAAAGCCGTTTCTAGACAATCCGACCCCGCCACAACCGAATGCGACGAGCGACGCAGATGCATCTCGCGTAAAACAATCAACAACGCATTCACCTGAGCGACGTCGCTCCAGGGCCTCCACAAACACATCTCGAATCGACACCTCTTTCGTACCCCAAACCCCGCCCAACGCCGACAAGACGCCCGTCATCGTCAACACCCCTCCGACACCGACCGACCACAACGCACCCTACGCTCAATCTCCTCCGCCGGCCCCAGCTCCGCAGCCCGCTCCCGAAGTTTCTGTCACTGCCTCAGGCAACACGAATGGTGGTTCTGCCACGGGTACTATGCTTGCTCACCGCAGGGGTAGATCAGGATCTGGAAGTATAGGGCCTAGCAAACTGTCCAACATAACCCTCGCGCCTTTGACGCCCACCCCCGAGAACGGGACCGCAAGCAACCCAGGAACTCCATCCGGCGGAAGCGGATTCTTTTCATCCGTCTTTTCGGCTGCGCAAAACGCCGCGACCTCGCTCACAAGTACCATCCAGAATACCGGCATAGGACCGACCCCTCCCAAGAACAAGAACGTAGCTAAACCCCCCGATATCAAGATCGACGAGCAGCCCGAGGTCGAGCCGCCACCTCCATCCGCAACAGGCTCGACCATGGAGAAAGAGCCAGCAGTCAAGACCATTGGGTCGGGCGAGCTCAGCCTCAGTCAATTAGGTATAACGGACACAGCCAGCAATGCAGGAACGCCCATTACAGCAAAATTCCCCGAATCGGACGCACGAGCTAGAAGCGAGTCAGCCCCGACAGACGCTGCCTATGCCGCTGCCACGCGTGACCTCGGAGTAGACGACGGCCGAAACGCGGCGAGACCTCAATCACTGTACGATCCAGGAAGTGCCGGGGACCGAACCCCTCCGCAAGGCAGCATACACGAAGACAAGATTTCAGGAGTCCAACGAAGTGGAAGTATTCGAAGCGCCATTGGACGCCATCGCAAGCGAGGAAGCTCAGCTGTGTCGGGAGGTACGGCTACTACTATTGGCGCTGCCATTGCTGCGGCTAACGCGTCTCTTGCTCACCCTCAAGCCAACGCGAGCGTACCGAAACTTACGGGATTCGCGGTTGCGAGCAAGAAGCGCAATCGAGATTTCCATGGATTTTTCAAGAGCGTGCCCGACGACGATTACCTCATCGAAGACTACAGCTGTGCGTTGCAGCGCGAGATCCTGGCGCACGGCCGCCTGTACGTATCCGAAGGCCACTTGTGCTTTAGCAGCAACATCCTCGGCTGGTCGACCACGCTTGTCATGAGCTTTGACGAAATAGTAAGCGTTGAGAAGCGCAGCACGGCCCTGGTTTTCAAGAACGGACTCATGATCACGACCCTACATGCCAAGCATATTTTTGCCAGTTTCACCAGTCGAGACTCGACTTACGACCTAATTGTCAATATTTGGAAACTTGGTCACCCGACCCTGCAAAGCTCGCTAAACGGAGTGCAGCTCGAGGGTACTGGTGGTGACAAGACAGAAAAGGTTGACGCGAATAGTGCAGTGGTAGCAGATGTTGATGATGGTAGTTTGTCCGGCACCGATGAAGAAAGTGATTCTGGCGATGACGACGACGTTTACGACGAAGATGACGACGCAGAGGACTTGCAAGATGTCACGCAACTGTCAGAAGTCAACGCTGAACCCGAAGGTGGAAAGACCGTCTCTCGCAAGGTATCTGGTGCAGGTGCTAATGGCGCTGTCGCCGATGTCGTCAAGGAGGCTGTCGGTGCTGCTCCAGGCGGCAATGACTTCCCTGGTCCGGCCACTCATGCGCCAACCGACTGCGGAGACTCCGACACGCACTACGACAGGATTGTCGGCGACGATGTCATTCCTGCGCCCTTGGGCAAGGTGTATAACTTGCTCTTCGGCCCAGCCTCGGTCACCTGGATGACAAAATGGCTCACTGTTGAGGCCAAGTGTACAGAGTTGACCATGGAGGACAAGAAGGGGCTGACTCTCGACAATAAGTCTCGGTATTTCACTTACATTAAGCCTCTCAATGGTGCCATCGGTCCGAAGCAGACAAAATGTCTTGTAACGGAGACCTTGGATCATCTTGATTTTGAGAAAGCCATCAACTTTAGCGTCACCACACAAACCCCAGATGTACCGAACGGCAACATTTTCAGCGTCAAGACCAAGTACTGTTTGACGTGGGCCGACAACAACTCTACCAGAGTACAATCCAACTGCACTATTGAGTGGACGGGCAAGAGTTGGTTGAAGGGTAAGTTGAAGTTTTGGTCTACGTCGATGGCATGAGCTAACATGATGAAGGTCCTATCGAAAAGGGAGCCAATGATGGCCAGACCCAGTACTGCAAAGACCTTTTTGCTAGTCTGAAATCAGCTGTGTCTACTAAAGCTCGCGCTGGCGGTGCGGGAGCGGGCTCAGGCCCCAAGGGCAAGAAGAAGAGCAAGAAGAGCAAGGCGGCCGGCTCAACAACAGACGCCGAAGACGAGCAGGTTCGTCCAAGACATGTTCCCAAGACGAATTGGGGTCCATTGGAGCCTGTCCGCGGCATTCTCGAGCCAATTCTCGACATTGCCAAACCACTACTCACGGGCAACATGATGTATGGCCTCCTAGTTGGCCTTCTCGTTGCTACGTGGTTTGGCTTTGGCCTGCCTGGCAGACAAGCGTCTGGAGACATGCGCATGTATGGTTATCCGGATCGTCTTGCGGCGTACGACGAGATGTGGAGGCGCGAAGAGAGTGAACTTTGGGAGTGGTTGGAGGAAAGAGTTGGGTTGGAGCGCTTGCACGAAGGCAGCTTGCCCATTCGGAAGCGAGCAATGGAGCCAAGTACTGTGGAGGAGAGGGCCAGAGAGGATCGTATGGATGAGCGTGAGATTGAAGAGGCAATCAAGGTGACGGAAGAGAAGCTTAAGGTGTTGAAGGGCGTCATGGACAAGAAGAAGCCAACATCCGGTTGAGGAAATACCCTAGGAACGGGAGGCGGAAAAGTGCAGCGAGTCAGGTTACGGCACGACACAACGTGTCTTCTCATTTCTATGTTTTATTGTGTAGCATATTCAGTAGCGATGCCGACGAGCAATCAGGGCTTGAGTAGATCAGCATCAGCAATGTCATTTTATATCGACAACCCACTTGTCAGTCGTGCCGCAAGGTCTACGATGGCGATAGATGCGAAGCTGTGGCATGGTCAATCCTCTTCAGTGCCAGTCAAATTCGCTAACTTACCTACTGTGAGAGCCAGTTTCTTGATCGGGATTCAAGAGACAAAGGCTGTTTTATCTTACTTATTTTTGAAAGGCAGGCACAGAGAACCGTTGCCTGCTCCTGAGCTTTGGAATACACCAAATAAGCGAGTAGGCAGTACCTACCCTAGAAGAGACGCGTCTTCTTGGCCTCTCTATGTTCGTTCGACCTTCTTACTTTTTGCCGGCAACAGGGGCACGGCGGGAAGGATCATCTCTTCGTGACCCTAGAGAAACCGCGCTTCGTTCTCACATTATTATCGAAGCGGACTGGAAGGCACGCCTCTATCCACCTCCCTCCTTTTGAGCAGCAGGTGCTTGCCTACCTCGATCTTGTTCTCTTCTGCCACTTCACAAACCTCGAAGACGCAGCTTGCCTCTATCGAACACGACAACATTACCCGTCTTCCTCTGCCAACTATCCAACATTGTCTCGAGTTTATTCTTCGTATCCTCATGTTTTTGTCTACTATTCCATCACCTTAATTCTCCACTACTCGAGGTCCTTGATATCGTAGACAATTCACGGAGGGAGAATCAACATGTCAGGCAACCACAACGACGGCAACCCTGCCCGTGTGTGGCTCCGCGACGATGCCTGCATGCGAACTATTGACAAACTCTGCAATCTCGGCGTCGCCGACCTTATTCCACTGCCGCAAGTTGTCGTGGTAGGTGACCCGTCTTCGGGTAAGAGTTCTGTCCTGGAGTGTATGACGGGTTTGGCCTTCCCCCGCGGTCCTGAGCTCTGCACCCGTTACGCGACCCAAATTACTTGTCGCCGCGATGCCTATGAGAGCGTCCAGATCTCTATTATTCCGAGCCAGGATTCCAACGAGGATCGAATGGAGGGACTGAAGAAATTTGGATTCTCTGTCAAGAAGAACGACCTGGCGTTGGCGGATGTCTTTATGAAGGTAAGTAAAGCCCGCATTGGGAGGCCAACGTCTTGATGCTGATAAGTACGACCTCCCTCAGGCGAACGAAGCCATGGAACTTCGCGGTGTCAACGATGGGGATGCTTCAAAGCTACCGATCTTTGCTGAAGACATTCTCAAGATTGAGATCAACAGCCCAGACGTACGTTCAAGTCTGACGTTGTCGATTCATGAAACTTGCTGACCTTGGAACACCAGCAATATCACTTGACCGTCATTGATGTGCCGGGTATTCTCCGCACGCCTACAAAGGGCCTGACCACCAACAATGACATTGCTATCGTCAGAAACATAGTCAACAGATACATCAAAGATCAGCGTACCATCATTCTGGCAGTCATCCCTTGCAATGTCGACGCATCAACCCAGGAGGCTCTGACTCTTGCCAAAGAAGTCGACCCAGAGGGGCTTCGAACTATAGGTGTTCTCACCAAGCCCGACCTTGCCACCGAGCGCGTCACTCAGCAGATCGTATGCGAACTTATTGAGGGCAAACGCCATCCCCTCCGCCTCGGATACTGTGTGGTGAAGAATCGGAGTGAGGACGAAGGAGCCTCAACGAAGACAGATCGAAACTCATCGGAGAAGGCGTTCTTCTCTGCTCGTCCGTGGAACAGGATCAAATCGACATTTCGGGTTGGTGTTAGCGGCCTCGGTACCCGTATGCGAGACTTGCTTGGCGACCTTCTCAAGAAGGATCATAAGAACATCGAGGCCAATATACATCGTAGACTCAATAACACTGAAACTTTGCTCAGTCGCCTAGGTCCTTCACGATCTCGAGCAGATGCTCAGCGACGATACCTTGCCAATATTGCATCAGGTTTCCAAGAGGTTTGTATTCGAGCTCGGGACGGAAATTACAGCGGAATGGGCATGCTCCAATACGACGTACACTTTCGACTCATCACATGCGTCGTCAATCTGAATGAGGCATTCAATAAGGTCCTCACATCGTATGGCCATACACATGAGTTTGACGGCCAAAGCTAGGAGGAGGTCGGTCCTGTTCCTGGATTCAAAGTGCCTATGGACGAGCAGTCAGCTCGTTGTCTCGGCGATATCCTGAAGCATATGGATTTCAAATGCCCCAAGCCAGTAGAAGGCTTACTTTTAGGCCGTATTGAATTTCTCTTTCATAGATCTCGCACTGCCGAGATTGGCTCGGTGAGTACCATTCTGACAACATATCATGCTCAGCATTAACAAAAGTCTAGTTTCCAGGCTCATTGCTAGCACAGACCTTCAAGGAGCAGACCCAGAGGTGGGCGCCCCTGGTTTTGAAGCATGTTAGTCAGGTTATCGTGGTCATTCATAAGTTCATTCGCATAACACTGCAACGCAAATGTGAAGGCGACAGCAACACCTTCGAGATGTTGCATGACCATCTTCTGTTGCCGAAGCTCCGTGCAGCTTATCAGCGAGCTTTGGATCATGCTCAGTTCCTCCTTGAAGTCGAGCTTAGTGGACAGCCCTACACCATGAACCACTACTTTGACAGCAATCTTCAAGTTTCACAGGCCACCAGACTTCAGCAAGCGATCAACAAGGCCATTGGCCCGGAGAGCGTCCGAAACGTCGATGGCGCTACTGCACGCAACCCGAGCACGAACGCAAGTCCTGCTTCCGGGGAAAACACGCTGGGGGCGAACAACAACAACGGAAGCCCCTTCGATTTTGCGTCTCAGCAAGAAGACGGGTCTTCCGGAGCTGCAGGCTGGTGGGTGCCAAAGTCAATGCTCTCCAAGCTTACAACCGATCGTTCCAACGCTGAGCAGGTCAGAGAGGATATCCACGACGCCCTCCGTAGCTACTACATGGTCGCTCGGAGGCGATTCGTTGATGTTGTGCTGCAGCAGGTCATATTTCACTTCTTGCTCGATTCCAAGACCAGCCCTCTCAAGATTTTCACACCTGACCTGGTCATGAGCCTGGATGACACGCAGCTCAAGATGATTGCCGGAGAGAACGCAGCGACGCGGGATAAACGCGAGGTTCTCACTCAAAACATTTTGAACTTGAAGCTCGCGCTGCAGGACCTGGAAAATACCAAGTAAGATTCCCTGGGGATTCAAGTTGTGTTGGTTTCCAGAGTTTCTGGGTTTCCAGCGTATCAGGTGTGCATCATCAACCTTGATTCGTAGAGTTACAGAAAAGAAATTATGGATTTCGTCCGTTATCACTTCAGCCTTGTGACAACAAAGCCGATGCAAGTGAAACGAGCGTATGCTCTTCCATATTCAAGTCAATCTTCCAAAGAGGCTTTCTAGTAGCCAATGATGTGACAAGGTATCTTGCCGCTAGGTAATTATCTTATGTGTAACAGATGGCGAAGACCCAAATAGCTTCTGCTCGGCCCGACCATCATGTTCTGGGAATGCCTATCTGCTCAACAAGGGTTTGCTTGGAGTACATCTTGTCGTTGCTATAAATCGTGAATAACGAAGAGAGAGAGAGAGAGAGAGAGAGAGAGAGAGAGAGACTACCACAAAGCAAGACACAACTTGTAATCCAAAAGTAAAGCCCTATGTTCCCGCAGCCTGCTTACTACTTGGTCTGATTGCCAACGGTCTTGACGGATGCCGCCGGACAATGCAGATGTCGCGCCCGAGGAACTCGACGAGGATATCCGGGCCCGTACTAAGTCCACCGCGAGCAACCGCCGGAAGTCATCGCCGTGTCGCGATCTAGCACTGTTGTGGCGGGCCGCCGAAGCAAATTATAAATCAGTCACATAGATTCTTCCGCTCTCTCTGCCTTGTGTTCATTACGGAATATACTTTGGGAGACGTAGAATGAAACATTGTAAGTTTAATGAATAAGTACAAGGAAAGGGATACTTAATTTTTTCAGAAGGTGAAAAAAATTCGTGTGGAATAGACAATGGATTCGGATGCGGCTGGTCTGACTATAACGACTAGGGAGATGAGGAGGTTTGACGCCATGGAGTCTAGACACGGACCTGTTTTTCTTAGTAGTGCTTGTGACAGTAAGACACGCATCTGTCTCTGAGTTTCCATGCTGAATAGAGAACGAAGATGACCTTGCACCCTATAGGTCAGCTATGTTGTCTGATGTCTCAGTGTGGCGTAATTCCGCATAAGAAAGGCACATTCAGCTGCTTTTGTGTAACGTCAGCTTTTAATAAGCGTCTGAGTTCTCCGGAAAGGAGAATCTTAATAGACATGTTTTAATTAATCCTATTACATTGCGACCCAGTCCACGCAAGAGCAATCATGCCGACCTCATCTCTCTCCTCAAAAAGACATGAAGCGCAACATACGACACCACACCCGTAAAACACAACCCGCTAATTACCCCAAATCCCATCAGATATTTAGGCGCATCCTTGGAAGGGAACAGGTACGCCCCGTAAATCTGCGCCAGGTTTCCCATGGCATTCACAAACGCCAGCGAAATTGCCCTCGTCTCGTTGGGCATGGACCCGAAGCTCACCGAGGCGTACGACAGCGCGAGTCCGTTGGAGGCCCAGAGCCCGGAGGCCATGATGACGAGCAGCGCGTAGCGCGCCTTGAAGTCGTAGACGACGCAGGTGACGACGGCGCAGAGCATGGCGACGGTCATCCAGGCGCCGAGGATGAGGCCGCGGAAGCGCGAGTGGCGGTCGGCGAAGTAGCCCGTCACGGCGGTGGAGACGAAGGCGATGCCGAAAATGGGGATGGTCATGTATTGGGCGGCTGTGGATTTGTAGCCGAGGCCTGAGACGAGGGTCGGGTAGAAGTAGGAGAGTGTTGAGGAGCCGACGATGGCCTGTGA